GTGAGGTGATCTAGTGGTGGAGCTGGTGTCTCTAGGTGCCACGTTTGAATCTTCCTATGACGAAGGGATGATTTTATTTTGGTCTAACAATGTGAAATTACCAGAGTGCCCATATTACTCATCTAGTTTAAATGATCTTATATGGGATCTTAGCCTCTTCCCAAACAAACCCTTGTTGTTTGGTTGTTGAAATATCGGAAAAGAAGATGGATCTAAGCTCTATTTCTTGGGTTTAAGTTGGTTCTTAGTAAAGAATTGTATTTGGAAAGCATAGTATTTTTTATATATTGATGTTTGAAACATTGTTGGGCATAGGATTTGAGGATTAAGAAGCTTGAAAAACTTGTTTGAATGTTGATTAACATACAAGGTGTTTATCGAACGTTAGAATTGATCATGCTCTTATTATTTGAAAATGGCCTACTTCTTCTCTGGTTGCATATACTGATATTTGAGTCCCCTGATAATCTGATCACTTATTCTGGTACCAATTAGGGTGGTAATGACAACAGAGGGAGCTAGCTAGGGAGGGGCAGCGGCAACAATGTGTCTTCAATATGTGCTATGAGCGAGACAAGCTTGCTAGGAATGAAAATGGCGGAGGTGCGATACAAGATTATTGACTGTGTTTTTTAAGAGTTTGGATGATATAATGGGATTTAGGAGCAAAGAAGATTAATATATTAAAAAAAATAATTCAGCCTTTTGCACTAATTGTAAACACTATCAGTGTAAAAAGTAATCAAAAATATTTTTAGAAGAATTATTTTCACCCTTCTCCACCAGTGAAGAATTGGAGTTGTCATATTTGAAAATTTGTGACAAATGAATATTCCAACATTTACAATTCCAGAGAAAAATATCAGAAACAAGAGGGTTTAACGCATGCATATCATGTTTATATAGTTTTTATTTACAGTATCCTATTTTGTTCACGTTTACCACTGCTTAGGGTGTGATTGGATTAGCAGTAGGAAAAATAATTTTTACTTCATTTGATTTTTATAAGTGTAAATTAGGATAAAAGTCCATCACTACTAAAAAAACACCCAATTACCAACCAAATTAGTGATGGAATTCAAAATTACCAACGAATTAGCGATGGAAATAAATTGCTAACAAATTTTTGGCACAATATATTCCGTCTCTGACTTCATTTGCTGGAATTTTAAACTTTGACAATAATTTCCGGCAAAATATTCCATCAAAAATTGTCACAAATTACCGACGGAATATTCCGTAGCAAATTTATTTTTTTAATTTATTAATTAATCATGGATTCGTTTTTTTTTTAAATTTTTTTCTTTTAATTTCTTATATATATTTATTTTGTTTATTTGTTTATTTTCTTAGAGAGAGTAAAAGACAATTAATTTGTTGAAAACCAAACATGCCTTAATTAAAGAATATAGTCCAAACACAAGTCCTGAATACTTGAAATGTCAAATGTCAACTAAAATCACAATTATTAATAACTCTCAATTGTCATTTTCTGAATCTCTACCACTGCTAGAGGGCTTAATGATGAGTACTCATTTTATTATGGTTTTTCAAATCTTATCTAGAAATTTTGTCATATTTATTTGGCTTAAATGTATTAATTAATGATTAATTTGAATTAAAAGTGATCGTATGAAATTAGAGCTAAAAAGAATAAAAATATCATATTTTTATTATTTATTTTAATTTATTGATTTTTGAAAAGTACGATATTACATTATCTTGACATAACGGATATAAGAAACTTGGCCTAAATTTTTTTCCTTTAATAAACTAACTGTCACTCGATGTCAGGTAGAGAGATTTGTTTTCTAAAAATTCATCAACAAAAGCATAAAAATTACAAAAAGAAACAAAAAAATAATAAAATATCCTAAAAATTGCTAAATGACTTTCAAAATTCCAATTTAAACCCCTTATACTATTTCAAAATTTTCAAATCTTGTAAAATTATGCAAATGCCGTTCACTATTTTTTTTTTTAAATATTGCTATCTTAACACCCTTAACTAGTTTTTGGCCACTGGAGCTCTGACACTGACAATCCTACCAATGGCCAGCATCCAAAGCTCTAGCAACATGTCATGAGAGCTCTAGTGACCGCTTGCTGGAGCTTCCGTGAACATTCTTTCTTGTATATTGACTACTTTTGTTAAGATATTGACTACATTTATTTTTAGAATTTTGATCACTACTAGCTACTGACTACTTTAGTATTACGATTAGCTACTTTCATTTTTAAAAATTTGATGACTACTATTATTTAGCTAATAACTACTTTTGTTTCAAATATTAAAAAAAAAAAAGCGCATTAAGTGTTGCTAGAGATCCAATGACTACTTTTGTTTTAGTTATTTACTATTCTTGTATAATCAATAGTTATGCAAAAGTAGTCATCTGAACTTTGAAAACGAAAAATAGTCAATAATTATATGAAAGTAGTTATTAAAAATAAGGACAATGTTATTATTTTATAATATTTTAAAATTTCAAAATAGTACAAGAGGGTTTGATTTAGGATTTTGAAATTCATCCACTTTAGTTTGTCCTTTAGCATTTTTGAAAATATTTTAGTGTTTTTTTTTTTTCACACGAAAAAGTCAATCATAAGTGAAAGTGTTATAAAACTATGAAAACATATAGATTAGAAAGATGAGAAAGACACGAGAATTTGAGAGAAAGATGGATAAATTCTTGTTCCTTAGATTTTTTTTTTTAGGTACATATAATTCTGTTTGTTTAGCCCCTATTTATTACAAGCTTCCAGCCCTTTTAAGAGTTACAATTCATAAATAGAAGAATTAATCCACATTATGGTGCAAACATGAAAACATTCGTGGTCATAGTAGTAAATATTAGAATAAACCATCCATTTGAGCATTATAGGATATAATGAAATTAATCAAGAGATGAACTTCTAAAAAGATTTTAGAGTTCTTTTCACCTACTCATCATATATAATATTAGTTACAATTTATTTTTACCCTTTTAATTTGAAAGTGATCACCAATATAATTGGTTATGACAAACTGCAAACCAAACACACGATGCTGATTTGTGGAGTCCCATCGTTAACGGATTCCATGAGAGGCCCGAATGGTAGGGAAAAAGCTAGTAAATGGGCTCTATCAAGAATAGCGACAAACGTGGAAGAAGAATGTAAAGGAGTGGTCTTTTAGAAAATAACCTCCATTCCCCCAAAGATACTTGAAACACTGAAGGCTACAATGAATGGAAGGGAAAAGCTAGTAAAAGGGCTCTAGATGGACATAATCAGTTTAAACCTATCAGATTTGAATCGTTCATATCTTATTTGAATGGTCTAAATTTTATTTTTTTTATTTTTATTTATTCAAAATAATTATTTTAATATATATAGAATTTAAAATAGAGATAATTTCTTAACTATCATTTTTCAAAAAAAAATAGTTTTTTCTATTTAAAAATAATTAATTTAATATTTTAAATATGGTTATTCAAATAATATACAAACGGTTAAATCTAATAACTTAGAGTGATGAGCAGTGAAACTCTAGCTGAACCACTGTTACGTTTATTTTCGGAGCACGCCATCATATACATCATTGACTATTCCAAACTGAATGCGCCTTTCGATATACAAGTTGTAAAGAACACATAGATGGAGTTTCGATATGCAAATAACTCAAAGAGGCGCTCTCCATATGCATCGCATAATTGTTGATTAAATGAAATACTATTAAATTGAAATATATATTAAACACAATCAATAAACTTTATGAGCAACTTATAAATCAAATATTCTTTGAATAGATATAAATATATACTACTATATTTTATGTACGCCAAGGCGGGTTAAATGTAGTTCGGATGGTCAGAACTAGTTTGAATACTCATGAGATTTGAACCGCATAAACGTGATTTGGACAATCCAGATTTGATTTTTTTTATTAATAACTATTTTAACAAGTATATAATCTAAAATAGAGAAGATCTCTTAGTTATTACTTTTTTCAAAGAATAATTTTTTATTTAATAATTATTAATTAGAAATTTTAAATCTGGATTGTTATCAGATTTAGATGGTCTGGATCCGATAATGTTAGGGTGCTCATCCAAACTAGTTATGCAAAAGGTCGAGTAAATGAGCATGGGAAAAAAAGGACTATGAATGCAAACACAATATTTTCAGAGATCCCTGCCTTAATTCCTTTGAACCAAAATATGCATAGCAATACCTATCATATAAGCTGGTTAATGGTGTGAATAGAGTTATAAATATCATCATGAGAGTCATTCACATTATAAATGTTAAAAAAAAAAAACCTAGCTTAAAACCTAAAAAACACATAGTTAATGGCATTACAGAGTTGTGAATATTATTATAAGCGTCGTTAATCACGTTACAAATGTTGAAAAAAATCTCAGTTTAAAAACCTAAAAAAATATGTGATTAATGGTATTAATGGAGTTGTGAATATTGTCATATAAGTTAGTTGTTAATTACATTACAAATGTTGAAAGAGTCTTTTAAAAAAAAAAAGTTAACAGTCACCTAAACTTCAGTGCCCAACAACCCACTTGAACTCCAGCATGAGTTGTTAACAATCGGTCAATTGGCTGGTGAGGAAAAAAATTAAAAATTCACCAACATTTCAAAATTATAATTTAGTCATTATCATCAATTTAGAAATTGCTTAATTCATGTGACCTTCTAGGGATTTTGCAATTCAAAAATTATTTTTTTTGGCATTTTCCCTATTTAAAACTATAATTTTGTAGGCAAAAAGTGCCTTTTGTTTAATTACAATTGCGCTTTGCAACTTGCTTGGAAGATTTACTTAAAAAACAAAACAATAATGTAGTAATGGTGCATGCCTTGATGTTGGTGAACAACGAAGGACCACGCAAGGTTGTAAATGGCCACGACCCATTGAAAGCCTACCCTTCTTCAAAAGTATTCTTCTAGTTTTAAATATAAAACCTATTTTATAGTATAAATTATACTATAAAATAAGTCTCTTATTTAGGATGGGAGGGAGTAATATCTTCATTTAGAGCCCCACCAAGCTCTGCCATCTTTGCACTGTTCAGCGTCTCCATCGCAGACTCGAGGCCCAACATCACATCGCCTATGGACGGCCGTTCATTGCCATCATCATCTAAGCACTGTAAAGCAATCCCCATGTATTCCTTCAAGCTTTCGGGCATTATACTTTCCTTGATGAATGGATCCACCGTTTCATAAATCTTATTCTCACGAACACATCTCCGAACCCACTCTACTAGGTTTTGTTGCTGTCTCTCCACTGTACGAATGATAGGAGGCCTTCCACACAATACCTCCAGAAGGACCACTCCAAAAGAATACACATCTGACTTTTCTGTCAACCTTTGACACATGTAGTATTCTGGATCCAAGTATCCAATGCTTCCTTTAACTACTGTGCTTATGTTAATGTTGGATCTCGTGATTCCTGGGGGTCCGATTTTGGAGAGTCCGAAATCTGAGATCTTGGCCGTCCAATTCTCATCTATGAGGATATTTGTTGACTTGATGTCACGATGAATGATAGCGTGTTTTGCACCTGTATGTAAATAGTGCAGACCTCGTGCCGCACCCAGGCAAATCTCCAGCCTTTGATGCCAAGAAAGTGGGAGCTGATCAGACTCGTAGAGATGGTCACGTAGGGTCCCTCGAGCCATGAAATCGTAGACAAGGATCATTTCGTTGCCATCGTTGCAGTAGCCAACGAGAGATACTAAGTGATTGTGACGAAGTTGGGACAACATTTCAATCTCTGTTCGGAACTCATGGAGCCCTTGCTGCGACCCTTGTTTGAGTCGTTTGACTGCAACCGGAGTTTGACCGTCGTTAATGTTACCTTTGTAGACGTTGCCGAATCCTCCGACGCCGATGATGAAGAGTTCATCAAAGTTGTTGGTGGCGGCTCTGACCTCAGCAATGGAAAAGCGATGGCACAATTCCGCCGGTACAAGTGAGCCATTAGTAATACACTTAGAAGTTCCATCACTCGACTTGATGTTCTTCCCACGAGTGATGAGGAAGAATACGGTACAGGAAATCAGAACCATAATGGAAGCTGGAACGCCGACGATGACACCGATTAAAATGTTTCTCCTGTTTTTTCTTGCTTGTTTTTGGGGTAGATCATTAGCATTGGGAAGGGGTGGTGGAAGAGGATCAGGGTTAGGTCCGGCGAGATTACTTTGTGAATCACTGATCTTGAAAATTTCAAGCCCATTTAAGAACGCGTCGTTGTACTCCAACTGTGATTGCAAATCAGGATGCATTTTGAGTGAAAGAGAAGCTGGTTTTGCATCACCTGAAACAATGACGGCATAGTCTCTATATACCGGAACTCCTTTTCCCTTTGCCCAATTTAAAATATTCGCACCATGGTCGGCTGACTGGTCGGCTATGTAAATATCAAATATCCTGTTGTAGGAAATGTTGATATCTGGATTAAGCTCACAAAAATGGAGTCTCAGCATGTAGGTAAAGCCTGAATCGACGGGAAACTCCCAAGTAAGGTTAGTGTTCATGTTCAAAGTCTTGTTCATTCGCATATCGCGTTCTGTTCGATAGAGTTCCTCAGGTGCTGTGTAATTAGGAACTTTAGTGAACATCAGGGGTCTTCTCTCACCTTCAAAATCAGCGGGTGAAAAATAACTTTTAACAGAGAAACTGTCATCGCTGTCCCAATATCGGAGCATTCCCGTGTCTTTCGTAGCTGAGATAATTCTGCCACCGACGTTTAGCCTGTACTCTGTCTGAAGAGCAACGCTGTCGGAGATGCTGAACCCGGCCACCGACCCAATTAATTTGAATCCTAGGTCGTCAGGTTTGGTGTAATAGAGATCTTCAGGCATGGAGACAATCTCAATTCCATTAACAAACGCATAAGAACCTGGGTGTGTTGAAGTGGGAGTGAAAGTTAAGTTGAGCCTCTCGCCATCCCCGACGTTGACGCAATATTCTATGAAGATGGTATCTTCACGGTGAGCATCGGCCGTGACCGAAGCATTGAAATCCTTAAGGAGTGTGAACCCGCCAGATTTGACAGTGAAGAAGGCATCGAAACGATCAAAAGCCGGGTACGAAGCTGGGTAAAAGAAGAGACGAAGGAATTTCTGGCCTGGAGAGACAGGGAACGAATATGAGATCTGAGAGCGAGAGAGACGAGCCGTGGTGTAGGGGACTTGTTGGGCAGAAGGAGATTGAGTAAGTGCCGTGGCTGGAACAGATTCGTCTTGTTTGGATAAGAACTTTGAATCGTTGTCTCCCGCCCATGTCCGACCACTTCCCGTTGAGTTGCCGGAGCTGCCACAGTTAATGCTTAAAAGATCATCGGGGGCGTAAAAAGAAGCAAGTGTGGAAGCGTAAAGCAGGGGTAAACAGAGGAAGAAGATGGTGGTCCATGATGATACAGAAGCCGTATGATTGAAGCTCATGTTTGGATGAAGAAGACGAAGTTTGTTCTTCATGGAGGTAAATTCGACAGAGCCAAAATAGAGAAAAAAAAGAAGATTAGGACCTGTAATTGCCATGGTAGTAGTTTCCAGGAAGCCGCCTGCGAGAGTAAACGCTCGAGTCTTCGCAAAAGAACAAAGCACTTAAAACAGTACACTTGACCTGATCAACGATGGGTGCCAGCCGTAGGGGATTGGAAAAAAGGATAATGAGACAATTAAGAAAATTATAAAAATAAATGGTTATTTTGAATGTCCATGATAGGGCAGGAAAAAGCAAAAAAAAAAGTGAGACTGTTTGGTCTTGTATTGAATTGAAAGGGAAATTAAAGTAGGAAAGAGACATACCCTTGAATGCATTGGACTGTAGCCATCCATCGCACTCTCCTAGAAGTTGTCGATGCTTAGCCCTAGCTTTCTTCAAGAGCGTGATCAAGCTTGCAATGAATCCCATCAATGGCGACGACTTCAATGGAGGAGACGAACTGAGAAGAAGTGGGTACAGCTGAGGAGCTTAATGATGGGGATAAGAACGTGAGTTGGAAAGAGAATCGCGTGAAGGGACGATAGATGCGGATGAATGGAAAGGGAACGAGGGAACACGTGGATGCCGTGACGAATCAAAAAAAGGTTGCTGAATATTATGGCGAGTGCGAATTGGAAATAGTAATGGATTATTTTGTTGGCGACTTACAACCTACTAACACTAGACACTTTTCTTAATTCTTTTAAGAAAGGGTGAGGTTAATTGTGAGTTGGAACATTTACGAAGGGTGCAGTAGCTAGGTGTGAGTTACATAGTAGAAAATATATACTTCTTTCTATTAGTATTTAATTTACTAATTTAAGCAAACTACTAATATTAATTAAATTAATTAATATAATATGTCTTTTTAAAATAGTATAAGCATTTTCTTTAATTCTCTTCCTTTCTCTCCTACTTAATTATTATTGAGAGAATATCAATAGAATTTATTTAGAATAAAATTAACAAACATATAATATAGGTTTCACATATATAATTAACATTAACTATTTAAATTATTAATTAGATCTTATATTAATAACAAGAAAAGTAAAAAGTAGCGGATTATTCGAATTAACCCAAAAAAGAAACCATGGGTGAGGGGAGACGTGAAGGTCCAAGCATAAATGGGTACTAACCCCAGTCCTTAATATAAAAAAATTAATTGATTAATTTGAATAGATTAATAAAACTAGTTAAATTAGTCATTTGTAATCAATATGTGTTATCTTTTTTAAAATATCCTTATTAATCAAGTGTATTTGGCTAAAACTACTATTATTATAATAACCACTTTGAAAAAAAAAAGATAAATATAGAAGACAAAGTAAATTAAAGTATTATATTTAAGATCAAAATAAAAATTAAATAACTTTTTATATTAATAACCGGAAATAATGTTAATTAAAAATAAACGGTTGGGTTTTGGTTTGTTATAAAGCCGGACGAATCTGGATATAGATAATTGACTGAGAGGTGTGAATTGACTAATGGAGGTCGAGGGGGATACGTGGTGGTTCAATCAAGGTTAATGGGAGACTGGAATTAAAATAAAATAAAAGCGTGGAGGTAGAAGTCAACCTTTCTTTTTTGTCAAGTTAAAAAAAGGGCGCTTTTTTTTTTTGAAAGAAGAAGAATGGAAATTAAAAGCACGGAAACTTATCCAAAAAATAAAAATTAAAAGATGGAAAATAGGAGCGAAGGAGAGCAGGATTGGAACCAAATGCAATTTTTTTTTTTGGTTATCAATGAAATTATATTATAATAAAACCTCGGTGATGTCTAGGACGCAGCGCTCATCATTATGATGGGATCTGAACCATTAAAAAAATTTAATTTTTAAACCAAAATGCAAGTATAAATCTAGAGTATATACTAGAAAAATTGCAAACCCATTTATTAAAGGGAAAATTGCAAAAAAAAAAAAGATCGTGAATATTATAAAATCTCATATTAGGAATCATGATAGTACTTTAACTAGTTTTGACAAGAATTGATTTGCAAATAATAAAAAAATTTTGTGAAAATTTCTGATCTCGGATTTCGTAATTTTCAAAGTCTTTTTTTTTTTCCCTTCCAATTTTACCTGGATTGAAGATTGATAAACTTAAGGGTCGAAAAGTTGTAGACTCCGGGTTAAGAGCTGATATTGGACTCAAATATTTTGTAAACACTTTGAGATGGTCTAAAATTATTTGAAATACATTTTAGTCAAATATTATCAATTATTTATATTAGATTAGCTTGGAACTCAAGAGCAGGTGAACTTGGTAATCAATAAAAATTTTTAGTAACTTAAGAAAGGTTAGTATGAATCAATTGCATTAGTTTTACCACATGTCCCATTTCAGTTACAGATTGTATAACTGATTGAGTGTTAGTAAGGGATTATTAGCCTATAAATATCCCTTAATTGTAACCTCTTTGTTATGTTGGGGAAATAATACACATGTGCTCCTCTCTCTCTCTGTGCTGCATAACAATTTGATATCAGAGTTGACTTCTCGACCACACCACCATCATGCAGGAAACAAGATCTGGTATACAAATCAATCATCTTGAGCATCGTTAGGACTTGCACAGCACTGCATGTTCCTGCGAGTCAATAAGCACCATATTGAAAAGGAATTTTCAACGGGAGACATTGTTTATCTTAAGCTTCACCCTTTTTACAAAAATTTAATCTATAATTCTACATTACATAAGCTTGCTGTTTGGTATTTTGGACCATTTGAAGTTATTAAACGAGTTGAGAAGGTTGCTTATGAACCTAACTTCCTCTTGAAACAAAAGTGCATCCAATTTTTCATGTTTCATTGTTGAAGAAATGTGTTAGTAAGGCCTTCCAGTTGCTACTTCATTGCCTATGATAGATGCCAAAAGTCAATTTTCTCTTAAACTTGAGTGTATTCTTCACCATAAGCTTGTCAAGTGTGGTTCATTGCCTGTTACTCAAGTTCTAGTAAATTGGAATCATAGCAGACTTAAGGACACCACTTGGGAGGATCTTTCCTTTCTCAAACAGCAATTTTCTACATTTGATTGTTCTGCTCCACCATCCAATATCATCCTTTTGGACAAGAATATTCTTTAGGTGGGGCGTAAATACGAGTCAGTTACATTAGTTTTAGCACATGTCCATTTCAGTTACAGATGGTGTATAACTAGTTGAGTGTTAGTAAGGGATTATTAGCCTATAAATATCCCTAATTGTAATCTCTATGTTCTGTTGAGGAAATAATACACACATGCCTCTCTCTCTCTCTCTCTGTATATGTGTGTGGTGTGTAATAAAAAAGCTTTAATAACTATAAGTGCAGAAACAAATAAGCAAGTAATACAAAAATTAATATGAATAATTATGCTAGAATTGATAAAAATATAAAAGAAGAGAGTATCCCCACTATAAACCTTGGTCTATGTCTAGTCCCCAAAAAATCTTCTAGTATTTTCCATTATATACCACATAAGTTTGATCTGGACACTTATAAAACCACTAAAGTCCTTTAAGTTTGATCTTAGTATGTCTCTGCAATTCTTCAAGTTTAATTGGGACATATAAGACATCACTACAATTTTTTTCAAGGTCAATCTTTCCCTTAATCCTAAAGGAACACTCTTCCTTGTGGTTACACAAATTACTCACAAAAACTCTCATAAAGAGTGGGATGAGAGAATGATAATTGATGGCTCAAGGGGAATGGTTTTATGATAGAGAATATATAAATATGAATTCAATCATCTCAACTTTTTCTCTTGTTTTCTCTCTTTTCCTTGCACTTTAAACTTGTTTAGAGTGGCATATTTATAAACCAAAATTTGAAATAACTGTTAGAAAGAAAGAGATGCATGTTGCTGTTAGAAACTAATCATATTTAGCCCTTGGAGAGCTTTTCTGACTACTTGATGTGTTAAAGATCTAGATGTTAATCAATATATTATCATTTTGGAATACTGAACTTTGAAACTTGTTAATGTGATGTTTGTCATGAAGACTAACCCGTTGGAATTTTTCCAGAGAGTAAAAATATGATAGATGACGTTTGCCAAAAAGGCTTAGCACATTAGACACATGGGAATATTGGAGCTTTACTCTAGACAATATGGATAACATATTAAAACATCGATGCTAACATATTTGGAGTTTTTTTACAGTGTGTATAAGTTATTCTCCTAAGATTTTTAACGTATTAGCATAATTTGCTTAGTTCATTCTTTAGAACTAGAATAACGTGATTCATAAATTATAATATCTCTAATCATTAATATAAAAATTAATTAAAGATTTTATTTGGTTATAAATATAGGACCTCAATTTACATTATCTCCAATATTTCTCTATTTTTCCCTCAAGTAATCCATATAGTGATTACAGATGTTAAAGGGTTTTCACTAAAAGGTAATTTCAATGCACATGATAATATCTAATTATTACAAACAATTAACTTAACTAATATTCTTAATATTTATAAATTAGTTATTTACCTCTTATATTAAGGACCAAAGGTAAACTTTTTGTGGAGTGATCAGATTGAAACTCATATGAATGATCAATAAGTTAGGCAGAAGATCTAGCATGTTGACGAGATAAGTTCGTAATATTTAGAAACTCAACCGTGCACAGATTAACACATTAGCACTTAATACACGTATTAAAGATTGAAAAGAAAACCTCTTTTAAGCTTTATAGTAAGAATTCTAGATTTTTCATACGCTTGAGTAGAATAACGCATTAGTCCAAATGACAATCGTGTTAAATGTGTATCATATTTTGCTCCAAAGATTAACTAGTTTGTTAGTATTTTTCCACGCTGTGTTAATTAAGACATAGTGTACATGTGAAGCGCTTTGAACGACTCATTTAATTAACACGTCAAAGATGAATCAAGCCACGTTAAATGAGAGGAGACTGGTCAAAACTAGTATAAATCCAGCTAGAACGAATCTCTGAGAACCAATCAAAAATCAGAACTTTCGAGACTAAGAAATTTGCTACTTCAAGCTTTTTTTAAATAACTTTGCACCATTGCTTCGATAAAATATGTTTTTCCTATGTTACTATTACCACACACCCATTATTCTTCTATATAACTATTACACACACATGCTTCATTCTATTATAATGAATTGAAGATAGATTCTCATCAGCTGACAATTTTGAGTCCAGTATATGACAATGGGAGAATATTAATTTATCATTAAAGTTGATTATTAAGTTAAGAAATAATTTAGTAATTCATAAAGGTTTTTTTTATTTCCCATATAACAATTTAATATATAAAATCGAACATATACCAATTTTTAGTCAATTTAACAAGGGTGCAATTTTAAAAGGAATAACAATTGTAATTTCAAATTTGAATCTAATTCTAGCAAAATGACAAAAATAACAATTATTGCTTTGTAAAAAACTTCCTAATTTATTGTGGGTAGTGTAATTCAATATCATTTGTCTTTCCTCTGTCACATATATTTCGATTACACTTGACTTTTAAAATCATTCCAGAGGGCAAAACTGATTTCCACAT